CGGGACTCCAACCCAGAACCCTCTGGTCCTGGTTCCCCCGGGACTCCGACCCAGAACCCTCTGTCTGTGATGGTACATTCCCCCTAATCCATGTTCCTAACAGCTCGTAACCCCCCTCTGTGTTCAGGGGGACAGCGGGGGCCCTCTGGCCTGTGAGGATGCTTCGGTGTGGAAGCTCGTTGGAGCGACCAGCTGGGGAATCGGTTGCGCTATGAGGAACAAGCCAGGGGTTTACACCCGGATCACAGCCTCCCTCAGCTGGATCCACCAGCAGATGGAGGTCAGTGGGCCCACCTCTGGGCCAGGTCTACTGAGGTCCACCTCTGGGCCAGGCCCACCTACCTGGGGCTCAGAAGCAGGTCTGGACCTGGAGATGGTTTCGTGGGCGCTAACGCAGTCGGTTTTGTGTCCTACAGAGAGAAGAGGCTGGCAGTGTGTCCACTCACAGAACAGACAACTGACAACTGGCTCCTTCCCTCTGGATCACAGAGATTCTCCCGAAGGCCAAGAGACTTTGCACAGCAGAGAGGAGAGTTAGGCATTGTTTATTCCAAAATAGAAAGCTCTAAGGCAAAACAGATAAGAGAAAGGTGAACACCATTTCATAAAAAGCAAGACAGACCCAAGTGAAGAACAGAGTTCAGCGCATGGAGGTTCCCGGTCCCACCAGGAGGGGATATAAACCACATTATTGTCAAGTACAATATTACAGTGATTGAAAAAAAGCACCCCAAAGTGTGCACCAACATCCACAGCTGGACAGGTTTCAGATGGTTCCCTCCATGTTGGCTTCATGCAGGCAGCTTTCAAAAGGTCTCCTACGTGTCCACAGCAAAAGCTAAAGCGTGCAACAGTCCACAGCTTCCCCCGGGAGGCTCCGCCTCCCCCTGTGATTGTGTGGTTAGCATAGTGTTTTGGATTGTACAGTTAGGAGGTGATGCTACTACTGTCAAATGATACAAAGATGTCCTGTATGATATAAACAGTGTGGTCCGTGTGGAGCCGCACACAGAAACATGAGCACTGCACTCACTGGGATGGCTGCTTCCTCAGTAACGGGACAGAGTAAACGGAGGTGGCTTCTGCTGCGTAGTGTCTTTCGGACCAATTTGTATCAAGGGTCAGACCTTCGGTTTGTGCTTCTTGGCAAGATCTCTTTACAAAAGAACATGTAGATATAAGGCCTTGTTAGTAATGTAAGTTTAAAACCAATTTAAATAGCAATTTCATCAGCATTCAATTCCTTTTCCTGGTTTTTAGAAAACTTCAAAGAACCCTGGAAAACAGGGTCACTAACTTTCATTAGGAATCTGTACATAAATATTCCTTACAAAACAGAACACACAAATTGAAACTAAAACACTAATTTAATGTTTATATAGAAAAATAAGCATCTCTAATCTCTTTTTTTCCTCTGTCACTGTCCACCGGTGCTCTGCCGGGGGGGGGGCCCGTGGCGAGCCGTGGAGGAGTGGGCACATCTACTCAAACACAAGCATGCGAAAAGTGAAGACAAACCATTTTACACACACAACTTCCAAGTGTTGGCATCCAAAAATCAGATCAGAGATAAGAATTCAACAGGGGACGAGGACCAAGAGAAACAAACAAAAACAGGCAAAAAACAACAAAACAAAAAAAAGACAATATTTATTAACGGAGCATACAAATTTTCTGGTGTTTTTAAACACGTCTTTTCTCTTTCTTCTATTGATTTCATCTTTTTGAGCTTAAATATACAAAAAGTGCACTCGCCTACATGAAGAAACGCTTAAAAAACTGTTTCTGAAGTGAAACTCCTGATGGACTCAGGGACGCTCTGTGCTGGAGGCTGACCCCCTGGGACCGGACACCCCCCCCCCCCCCCCCCCCCAGCCCCCGGAAACTATGACGCAGTCAGCAGGAAGACGCTGACTCTCATTGTGTGGAACCACAGAAATCAGCCTTTTCAAAACCCCCACCTTCTGCCGTTAGGAAGCGTAAAAGAGACAGAAACAGAAAGCCTGCGCCCCCCCTGTGTGCTCTGCTCTGCCGGGGGGGGGCTCTGTGCTGGGCCTGGACTGGTGGCAGACCTTAGGTCAGCCTTGAATAACGCCTTCAGGCCTATGTCGAGATGTGCCACCATCTGGAAAATGCCCCCCGCCACAGCTCCTCTCAGATGCTGAGCTCACTTCCCAGATCTCCTTCAGCATTGTGTGCTTAAAGAAGGCTTCCTGAGGAGGTTACGCTTCTCTCCTTTGTTTTATCTCTGGAGTTGGAGCCGTATTCATTCATGTCAGGCGCTTTTTATTACTGGAGCTCCGGTCTGAAGCAGCTTTCCTCTCCTTGATCTAACACCACCACTACAGAACTCATGGCTTTTTCCTAATTATCGAAGGTTGGAATTTTGAAAAGGAAAGGGGTTTTGTGGCATGTCTCTGTGATGAATGTTTTCTACCAAAAACACAATGGGAAGAACCTCCTTCAGAAGTGGTGACCCCGTCATTAGTTCCCGGGGCTTTTGTCAGACACAGCTCCAGTGTGCATGTGTGTGTCTACTCAGTGTGTGGGGGGGTGTCCTCTACTGCAAGGAGTCGCTGTTGTCCAGGCCCAGCCCGGCCATGTCTCCGTCCTCGTCCTCGTCCCCGCTGTCCCCTGACTCGTCCTCGCTGTGCCCGCCCAGCATCACCTGCTGCACGGCCAGCGTGGCCCCGTCCGACGTCAGGCTCTGCAGGCCCTCCATGTTCATCGTCACCATGGTACCTGAGGACCAGCACGGGGAACCGTCACCATTTATGGGCCCACAGCTCGAGCTGGCCATCCAGTCCGGGCCTGGACCAGTTCTTTACACTTTAGGTAACATTACTAGCATCTCTAGTACTTCTAATTGGCATTTCTTTAGCTTTTATGCCCACAAAAGGGAACTTTAGAGTTATTTCTGACAGAATCTGACTCATATCAAACCAGTTTTCAGCCTTCCTCCCTTCCTTCCCAACATCTCCACCAATGCTCCCTCACATGCTCCATGACTCTGTGGAGGTGTTTGTTGTCCCTCTCCTGTCCTCTCAGCCCCTCCAGAGAGACGGTCCAGATGGAGGTTTGTCCCATTCAGATGGACTTGTTTCTTTCCACAGTCCCCAGCTGAATAAGAGGCTATCTGTTGGTTTCTAAAGCTGGTGATGTCCAGTAAATGGGACTGGTTTTGACTGTGTCTCTACACTGAAAGCAGACTGAACTAACTCCAATTTTAGAAATAAGAGAAAATGTCATCACTTTTAAACTCACATGTCATTTTGACCTTCCCTGTTCTTTGCCTTTGCTGCTGGGGCTCAGGGCTCCTCTTTCAGACTATTAAATTCAGTTCAGCTGGATCTCTGGAGCTCCAGATCCCGATAACAGCTATCTGACAGCTTTCCAACCAGAGCATCTCAGACCCACTCTGAGTTATTTAGAGGAGAACAACAGTTCCCACCAAGAGCAGCACTAGGAGACACAGGCAGGGAAAACTTCCTAAGTTTCCCGGACTAAAGGTTAATGGTTCGGCCCTCCCACGTGTCCTTTCTATCCAAAAGCCCTGAGCCTCGTAGCAGCTTTAGTAAACTCAGACAGCTTGTTTCTCTGGACGCTCACCATCAGGCATGGTGACCTGCTGCTGACCGCCGCCACCGGCCACGATGGAGTCCGGCCAGAAGCGCTGCAGCGGCCGGTTCTGAGGCGTCTTCTTCTTGGCTTTGGGCGTCTCAGACGAGCTGGCGTCCAGCATGGGCTGCAGTATCCGTCTGCGGGCATTGATGAACCTGGGAACAGGGACAGGCATGCTGAGGGGCTTCTTCTCTAGACACGTGCACCACCAGTGCTTTAACACATGTCGTCATGGTAACCCAGGCAACAGAGTCAGAGACCAGGGTGAAACAAACAGTGTGTCTAAAGCAGTGCCCCCCCCCCACCCCCGGGCCGCGGATCAGCTGGCTCCGGGCCGCCCAAGTAATAACTAATAGTTTCTGTGTATATATTCTCCGAGTCTGAATAATCCTTTATTTGGTCAAATCTTTTATTTTGAAAAATGACCGGATCCTCTGGGTTACATCTCGGCCACCTGAGCGCCCAAAATTTAACCCACAAGTTAGAAAAAGGAATAAAACAGACATCTTTAGAAAGTTTCTTTTGGAAGGGAAAAGGCCCAAAGAAGAGACGGAGGAAGAGCCGACGACTCCAGAAAATAAAAGTTTTAACAGACAAAACAAGGAGTTCTACTGGAAACATGGATCTATTCCCACAGACTGAGGCCGCTCCGAGTAATTCATGTATAATATATATTTATAATATAAGTGGTGAGCGGCTGTCTGATAAAGAGAGGCAGCTTCAAACAGCTTCACATCCGGATTATAAGACAAGCCCCTGGAGGGTTTAGCAAGGAGAAATAAAGCTGCATACCAGTACACAGTGGATTCACCTTCATTATCATATTCACTATATAAACACGGCCTTTCATAAAATTGTGGAGCCGGTCCGCAGTCATACAAAGACTGGGGAGCACTGGACTCTAGGATGTGGACTCACCAGTTGTTGACCTGCAGCAGGGTCAGGTTGGTCTGCGTGGCGATCTGCTTCTTCTCGTCCTCTGTGGGGTAGGGGTGCTGACCAGGACAAGCAGAGGACCCAGAGTTTAGTGGAGGAACAGAGGAGGGACCACGCTAAGCACGGGACTCACCCCGATGTGCTGGAAGAGCCAGGAGCGCATGACGTTGGTGGCGTGTTTGGGCAGAACGCCGCGCTTGTTCTTGGTGGAGTTGTCCTCATGAGTGAACAGGTTCAGGTCCTGGTGGAACTGCAGCTGGAGCTAACACACAGGCAGGAAACGGCCGTCAGAGGGGCCAGACAGGGACCAGACCCGGCCCCAGACACAGGGCCCCCAAAGGGCCCAGACAGAGACCCAAACCTGGCCCAGCTCCCCAACAGTCCCTGTCAGAGACCCAGCTCCCACCGAGGACAAACTCAGTTAGGCCACCCAACAGTGGGGCTGCTCTCTCTCTCTGTCTCTCTCTCACACACTTTCTCACACACACACACTCTCTCTCTCTCTCTCATTCACACTCTCTGTCTCCCTCTCTCTCTCACACACACTCTGTCTCCCTCTCTGTCTCTTCACTCTCTCTCTCTGTCTCTCTCTCACACACTTTCTCACAAACACACACACTCTCTCTCTCATTCACACTCTCTCTCGCTCTCTCACACACTGTCCCTCTCTCTCTCTCTGTCTGTCTGTCTCTCTCCCCCCCTCTCTCCCTCTGTCTCTCCCTCCCTCTCTGTGTCCGGTGTTACCTGATTGTTTTGGACGCGTATGGTTCCCGGGGACAGGGCCTGAGTGACCACCTGGCCCTGGGGGGTAACCACGGTGACGGGCTGGTAGACCGTGCCCCCTGAAACACACACACACTCAGAGTGAGTCAGCATTTGGGGCGTGGCAGCGGGCTCAGACCACAGACCCACACCCCACAGCATCCCAGTACCTGAGGAGGGGGACGTATGCCATGACGACATACCTGCGACCACCTGGGTGGGGTTGACCGTCGTCACGGTGACGTTCCCTTGCTGCAGGGCAGTTGCCGGCACCACGATTTGCCCCTGGGGGCTGATGGCCCCGGAGATGGAGCTGGGGGTCTGCGGGCGAGAGCAGGACTGGGGTGAAAAACGGCAGTGTTTCCTCCCTGTGTCTGCTGGTGCTGCTCTCGGTGGGAACTGTAGTTCTTCTCTGAGGCAGAGCTCTGCTCCGGGCCAGATGATCCTTTCAAAATCTTTCATTTTGAAAAATGACCGGATTCTCTGGGTTACATCTTGGCCACCTGAGCGCGCCAAATTTAATCCTCAAGTTAGAAAAAAGGAGTTCAAACAGACGTCTTTGGAAAGTTTCTTTTGGAAGGGAAAAGGCCCAAAGAAGAGACGGAGGAAGAAAACGGCTTCCAGGAAAATAAAAGCTTTTAACAGACCTACTGGAAACATGGATCTATTCCCACAGACCGAAGCTGCTCTGAGTAATTTATACATAATATATATTCATAATATAAGTGTTGAGCGGCTCTCTGATGAGGCCACGAAGCTTCAAACAGCTTCACATCCAGATTAAAAGACAAGACCCTGGAGGATTTAGCAAGGAAAAATTAAATAAAATTGGGATACGGAGCTACAGAAATAAAGTCAAATTAAATGAATTCCGGCGCCTGTACCCCTGGCGTAGGCCACACACCTGAGTCTTGGTGGGGGAGAAGCTCTGGGCCTGGCCCTGCATGGGGGAGTAGGGGCTGCCCGGGTCCCCACTCAGCAGGGTCTCGCTGTTCATCTTGGTTTTGAGGCAGGCGATGTAGCGGCTGCAGAAGTCCTTACACAGGTCGCTGACCTTCTCCAGCTCCAGCAGGTGGATCCGCAGCACCTGGATGGCTTTCACCATCTGACCACGAAAAGGACAAGGGGGGGGGGGAGGTATCCAAACACGGTTACGTATGATAAATGTCCGCCATCAGCACAGGTTAAAGCTCAGGACACACATTCAGTAGAGCTGGAAACGGGCCCCAGATAGACTAGAGCCCAGCATCAGGGCCCTGGTGGTTACCAGCCCCCCCTCTGTTTCTCCACAGGGGGGCAGTAGAGACTACTAGGTTTCCTCCAGGTATCAGAGCTTTTGGCCTGTGGCTCAGACCAGAAACAGATGGTGAGTCACATAGTTTTCCAGCTTTGCTCTTTGCTGTGCTGCCATTTGTTACAGTCACCCTCCAGCTCATAATAAAAACAAGCTGTTGGGGGAGAGCATCAAAGCTCACTGAAATGTACTCACCAAGTTGTCCAGTTCAGGGTCCTCGCTGAAGAACGGCTTTCCCTCCTTCTCCTGACAGCGGACAAAGTTCTCAATGTCCACATCAAAGCTGGCGGAGGTGATGCAGTCAGAGCTGAGCGTGGACTGCTCACACTTCTCGAAGAGCAGGGCCAGCAGGGGGAACAGGGGGTGCCTGCAAACAGAGGGCCAACAGCAGCTCTGAGTCAGTCAGTGGCATTCACTCTACACATTTCAAATCCAGAGAGTGGGAGTCAGGCCCAGAGGCCGCACAAAGGCGTGTGTACCGGTAGATGGAGGCTTTGTCCGTGTCCATGGGGGTCTGGGGGTCAGCGGGCACCGGGCTGGACACCTCTGCCAGTGGCCCTTCAATAAACTTCTGCTCTGATTCGCTGTCTGGCTTGGCCACAGCTTGCATCTGCAGATACACACAAAGGCTCAGGAACAGGGGGACGAAATGAAAGACACACAAACTGACAGCAGGAGGAAACACAAAGACATCATGTGAGCGTCAAGAGTCGCTGCAGGGCAGCGCTCAGCACTGAGAGCCACTTCAAAACCAGCCCCTGAGAAGTCATGTGGACAAGAGCAGATTCAAAGACAGCCTATTGTCCACAGAGCTCCGTTCATTCCTCCAAAAGGAGACCTGTGTCTCCCCCCTGAACCCTGGACCACATTTGCTTAGTGGAGGCTTCATGCCTCTGACCATGAGAGAGCAGAGGATGCTGCAGCTTCCCCCCGCAGGACAACGGGGTGAGCTCCGTCACTATAAAACACAGATGCTCTCAGATCTGTCTGAACTCTCCTCAGTTTGATTTCTCTGAACATCAACATGTTCCAGTAGCACCTAAATGCTATCAGTGTCACCAGGACTGGACTGGAAACTAGAAGATAAGCGCCCTCTCTTCTCTCATTTCCCACCGGACTGGTGAACAGAGGAGTCAAAGACAGAAAAGAGGAGAGGGGGATGCTAAAGAATCAGAGAAGCTTGCTTCAGATATACTGTAACAAGTGGCAAAGTTTCATCATCTATCCCACGTTTGGGAAGAATCTTTGTCATTACAGTTACCCCTCACATACCCACAAACACACTGGCCTCTGGTCAGACGCTTAAAAGCTTTGTGTGAGTGGCACCTCTTAATCAGAGGCTAGATTAAGATAAATGACAACAACTCACACGCATGACCCCAACATCTGCCCCCCCCCCCCAGCCCAGTGACTCACACCAACAATGGCTCACACTGAGCTGTGATGAGCTAAAAAATGGCTTTATGGTGTGTCACTGGGGTCCAGTGTGGTGGGGGATTTGTGTGAGTCACCACAGGCATGTTTACAGCGTTTGCATGGCTAAACAGGCGACTTATCACAACTAAAAATAAAAGGAGCTGGATCAGACGGGGCCTTCTAAATGGACGTGGGACAACCTAGCGTGTTTACAGTGTGTAACTGGTGAGGTGTGTGTCTCACCTGCTGCTCTCCCTTTGGGTATTTGTCTATGGAAACCGACTGGGCTGCCATCACGTTCACTGCAGGCGCCTCAAACACTGGGGCATTGTAGGGAGCAGGGACAGGTGGCCAACCTGCACACAACACAGCTCAGTCAGGCTGCCGTCGGCCCGGAGACTCTGGCCGCACGACCTGTGTCACACTGGGTCTTATTATCCTCAGGCATACTGGGGATCTGTCAGAGAAAGCTTAACGTTCAACAATTCATTTCAAACTGAACAGATGCTAAATGGAGAACTGCTGCGCTAGCCAGATGTTAGCACTGTGAGCTGAACGTGGGGAATGGGCAGATTTTTGTGTCTGAATTACGTGAAGGGAATGCGTGCACAGATTTATTTCCCCACAGCTAATCAGGGCCTAAACTCATATGAAAGTCACAGACGTGCAGAAAGCTGTGGCGTTAGGCTGCTAACCTGCTCTACACACCCACCACGACTTAGCCGTTAGCAGCCGTTAGCCGCCGTTAGCTGCGGCTGGCGGCAAGAGCCCGTCGACGTTCCGCTCAACAGCGTTGGGGTGAACAGCAGCAGGGTGTTTAACTGGGACGGGACCGAAGAAAAAGCGTGGTTGTGGAAGCCCCCCGCCCCGCTCCCACTGATTAGCCTTTTCATAACAATGCAAAGACGCACATTTGCGTTAGCTAAACAGCTTCGTGTGGCTAACCTTAGCGCGTGGCTAACTAATAATAGCGCTTTTCAAGCTGGGTTGGTGCCACCGAAATGTTGGGTAACACACTGAACGGAATGGCTATTTGTAACAGGGAAAAAACGACCGCAGAAGTATAAAATAATAAACATTTACAACAGGCTAATGTTGCGAGCCGTTTTTTTCAGGGACGTTGTGCGGATTGATACATAACGAGGCGAGTAAACTGACAGCTCGGGTTTCTGCGGCGTCTGTTAACCTCCAGTTTAATGAGTGTGTGTTCACTGTCTATATGCAGCAATCCGGACTTGGACAACACGGACAAACGCCGGCTGCACACGCGGATCGCCGGGTAAATGCTCAGATCCTTCCCCCACCAGTCAATCAATCAGGCGGGGACAGCTGCCTCCGCCGCCCTCCCCTCCGCGCGGGCACAGCCGGGCCTCGTTGGCGGCTCTCGCCCTTTGCTTTTCCACAATCCTGCTCTGCCCCCAAACGCAGACATCTTTCCACCCCCTCCCCTGCATAGTTTTTTAAAAATATTTTATTATTATTCGTCCTGTAGCGGTGCCGCCTCTGCTCCCCCTCCAAAACGCCGTCCGCTGCCTTCTCTAGGTCCCCATTTCTCGCCCCGGGGCATTTTTTCGTGCAGCCCAGATTGTTTGATTGATAGGGAACGGAAAAAGAAGGATTTTGAGTGACAGCTTACCTGAGTGCCAATCTTCGTCACACTGACAAGCGTTTGCAGCAATCGGGACCCGCAGTTGTCGTCCTGCGTCATCACGCAAGGGCACGCAGCGGCTCCGGGCTCATGAATATGTATGAGGCGGGCGGAGACACGGCCGAGGAGCTGTGTGCCCCGCTGGGGTTTCAGGCGGGCGGAGACAGCGAGAATTGTGCGCCCCGCTGGGGTTTGAGGCGGGCGGAGACACGGCCGAGTCCCAGTGCACCCTGCTGGGGTTTGAGGGGGGTGGAGACAGCGAGAATCT